GGGGGGGGGGGAATGGGGAGGGCTGTGCAACACAGAGAAGACAAGTAGTATTTTACAGCATCTTACTACGCTGATGCACAGTGACTGTGAAGGGGTATGTGGGGGGGAACTGGTGAAGGGGGGAGCCCAGTAATCATAGTGTTCTTCATGCAATTGTAGATTAATGATACCAAAATAAAAATAAATAAAAAATAAAAAGTATATACAGATAAAAAAGAAGTAAAGCAACTGGCAAAATCACATGGAGATTATATGAATGGTCACTATATTCTTTTTCTCTAACTTTTCTGTATGTTTCAAATTTTTCAAAAGTTGTGGGTTGGCAAAACTAACCATCCCAGGCAATGTAAAACTACAAAACTTGGAGAAAATATGAAAAGACTATGTTACTCTTAAACTAAGTCTTTCTTGGTAGCAGTTGTCTGCTGATTTCTTAAGGGCTCAGATAACACTCTTTGAACCTGAGTATTTTAGCATTCTTTTATAAAGCTTAACACCATGGAAAAGAAACCCTCAATTAAGGAGCAACCATTTAGTAAGGCTTACCTTCACGTAACTGAAACACAACCGTAAGTTGTCCAAATAAACTTCCTAAACAGCATTTTGGAAGAGTAGCTGAAACAGCAGATTTTACACTTTTTTGGATCCCTGACCTGTTGGAGATACTCATGAAACCTATAAAGTTTCCCCGCAGAACACTGGACACAGACCCCAAGTTCTGTATACACTTTTAGGAGGTTCCCCATATCGATTCCAAAGACTGCACGGGAGCCAAGAACCTTTGTCTATTTTTTTCTGAGCTGCTGAGAAAACTAAGAACGAGTTGCTGAGAAGACTCGTTTCCCGCTCTTTCACAGGCGTAAAACTTCTGTAGTAAATTTTCGGCTTTTATTTGAAAGGTAGAAAAGGCAGATTTTTAAAAATATAAAGTCAAATACGGATTACATGCCCAGCTTGCGCTCCTCTGACTGCAGTTACACGGACAGAAACCCAGTTTTCAAAGCATAACAAAATGTCTTTCTACTTGCCAACTTCAGTGCCCATATATGTCTACGTATCAAGACCTCACCAGCCACGAGTCCTACCTTCCTCTACTCTTTCACCTCCCGGGTTGGAAAAAGACTCACAGTCCAACCTCAAGATAAGCAAATCCCAGAAAAGGATTGTGAATACCGTAGTACTCTGCACACATGCCCCAGAACTGAAGGGTAATTTAGAGAGGCTGCAGAAGAATCCATTGTTTAGCCTACAGGAGTTAATGCCTAATAATCCTAAAGCAATGAAATAAACAACCTTGACTGAGTGGGAAAACGTTCCTCGAACTACATGTCCCAATGTGCTTTGCGCCACCAAAAAGGCGACGTACCCACCGTGCGCCGGAGCTGACGATTACTTGCGTCGGGGAGGGTGCAGTCCCCGCCCGCACACGCACAGGGAGCTGTTGACAGCCGCTGCGGCAGAGGAGCCGAGGAAAGATGTGGGTTTTCGGCTACGGGTCGCTGATCTGGAAAGTGGATTTCCCCTATCAGGACAAGATGGTCGGATACATCGCAGGCTACAGCAGGCGCTTCTGGCAGGGCAGCACAGACCACCGCGGGGTCCCCGGCAAGGTGAGACGCCAGCCAGTCCCCCACACTTACTGCTCCCTGAGCGCCGCTCCCAGCTCCGCGGGACCCACACCTCAGAGCTTCCGAGGGCCAAGCACATGAGTTAGGGGCAATCCTGTTACATCTGTGCATCTTCCTCGGCCACCTGCCCCCCACCATTCTCCCAAACCAACGGTACTCCTGAAACCACTTTAAATGCTGGTAGTTAGTTTCTTGAGGAGGCAAGAAGCGCAAGCTCGCACAAGGCTGACGTGCTGGGTCGGGGGGTGGGGGGCAGGGAGAGGAATCTCTTGGCAACCAAGTCCCCGAAAAAACAAGCGGGAAGAGTAATCTTCCAGTCAACACAGAGTTGAAATACTAGAATTAATATGCAAATCAAACTTTTTAGCAAATAAATGGGCGTTTCTGCATTCTGGCAGACTTTCATTAGTTGAGGTGTAAACATGCATGTTATTTCTGGAGTCTCTCTATATCTTTCCGAAGGTTTTATTTTATTATACCTAAGGTCACAGAAGAAATAGTATCCAATCCTTTTTGAAAGGTCTTCTACCTTTCAAATAAAAGCCGAAAGTTTACTATAGAAGTTTTACGCCTATGAAAGAGCAACTCTTTCTTAAGTTTTCTCAGCTGCTCAGAAAAAAGTAGACAAAGGTTCTTGGCTCCGGTGCAGTTATTAAGGAACTTAGTTTGTGATCACTTTGACTGTCAGGTACAGAGAAGTTAAATGATTTGTTTGTTACTTGAGTAACTCGTTAGTTACTGTACCCAGAATTATTTGAATGTTTCTTTCTTGGGATTCTTCTCTAAATTATAAATGTGAAATGTAAGTTTGTTGACCCACTTTTCAATTAATCTTTCAAAGAGGTTCATCTCAATATAAGTGTACAGATAATTAGTAGCAGCTCACTGCTTATGCAAATCTGCCTTGTGTTGGCTGCAAAACAACTAATATATAAGGAAAACTAACTTTTGTGTAACTAACAATTTGGATAACTTTAATACTTGTTTTAATCTCCTAACTTTTGGATGAGTACAAAATAGCTTTTTATGTTCTCTTAAAGTTATGACTTTGATTACCGGTTTTTAAAAATAATGTTGGCCCAAAAGCACAATATCTAAAATGCCAGACCTGAGCTTTAAGATAGACAGATGACTTGAAAACAAGGGAGTGACTTAGAGCAAATGCACATCTATAGGCCAAAAGAAACTTCATGACCGAAGTATCTCTGAGAATCTTATAATACAGTTAAGACTATGCAGAACTAAGTTAAATAAAATGCCTTTTGAGTTGTCAAATACGAACCCTTATAATTGCCATTCTAAAGAGAAAAGCCTTAACCCAGGCTCTAATTTTAACAATTAAATACTTATGAAGATGGTTGTAATAGTATATTTTCCTACTCTAGTCTCAACCAAGGTGTGTGTGTGTTACATAGCACACTGATATATATATACTGTCAGAAAAGATTGATGATAAAATGTCAATCAAATACAAGAGGTTCATAATTATTTAAAAGGAAAGAAGAGCTATAAAAGCCACTATCTCTGTTTTGACTTAAATTTACTAAAATATAGGGCAAAAAATTAGGGGGAAAAGAACTGCAATGGCTAATAGTTTCACACCAACTTTTATTTAAGGAATCCATCATAGCAAATTAAAGTCTAAGTACTAATTTCCTAAGTATACTGTTCTGTCAAAAAAAAAAAAAAACAGGAAAGAACATTACTACTTTACTTAATTTATTACAATGGTTGACAAGCCTTACCTAAGTATGGTAACTCTCTGACAATAATAGAAAAGGCTACTAAAATATCCAGCAAATTAGAAGGATGACATAGGTGCTCTATAGAACTATGTTTTTTATAGCAACATATGTTCCTGGTAAGTTAGTCATCATTACATATGAAATGTGATGTTATTAAACAAATGTTAGACTCATTTCCACATACTACAATGTGACATTTGTGGGGAAAATACCAAACTGCTTGCTTTATTAAATTATGCTTTCTTTTTAGTTTCATTAAACTTTAACTTGTTCATAAATTTAATTAAGCATCTAATTTATATGTGAAAAACTGGCAATTTCTCACCAAATTAAGGATTTATTTAAATGTGAAAGAATTTCAGATCAGAGAAAATATTTCCAAAAGATGAAACATTTTAACACAAGCAATATCATGAACATTCACTAAATCCCTAACTTTTCTAAATCTAGATCAGAAACATTACTCATACTCATTACCCAACAAAAAATGCACAAAAAATGTGACTCATTTTACCTCCTCTAACCCCAATCAGCTTAAAAGACCCCTTCTTCCATTTCAATTCCCCAAATATCATTTATGTGCACTTACAAATTTACATTGTTTCTCAGTAACATGCATTTATTTTAAAGACAAAGAGCTTAAGTTAAAAAAAAGTTTTCCAAGTAAATATACCACTATCAACAACAGTTCATGTCTTTCATCCATAAGCAGTCATATGGATCCATTTATTTTCCCTTAAAATGTCTCCCTGTATATTCTTTTATGTTTCAACTGCCACCACGGAAGTCCAGGACTTTACTACCCTTCCTCCTCCTTTTAATAATTACTACTGAGCACTTACATGTAAGTGGGACACACCTATGCAAACAACAGTACCTGCTGAGTGCTACAAGGGAAATGAATAAAAAGAGCAGTGAGAGTTTAAGAGAATTAGCTGCTACGAAGCTGTCTAGATAGTCAGGGAAGCCTATATGGAGAGTGGCAGGAGGATATCCCAGAGAAATAATAGAAGAAAGGACATTCCACACTAGTCACAGCTATATCCAAAGGTAATGGAAGTCTGTGAAAGTTATAAAAATTCAGTACATTTTGAGGGGAAAAATGGTAAGAAATGAGGTTTGTGGTTAAGTGATGCTGAGGAATTTCCTGCAGAATGAAAAATTCAAAGCACGGGAATTAACAGCCCAGTATTTGCCCTGGGAAGTCATTCTAGAGCCAAGTAGAGAACAGACTGGAAGAAAACAAAACCAGAGGCAGGCAGCAAGAGCTACCCCAAGAATTGGTGACTAGGCTGGATATAAGGGGAAGCAATAAAAGGTGGAATGCAGAACTTGTCACTGGGACTTCTAAATTTCTTACCCATAGTCCACCTTCCCACCCTAATTTCTATATTATACGCTTTACCACACTGATCTCTTCCCAAAACACCATTATCACTCCAGTCACCTGTTACTAAAGTGCTATATAGCTTCTTCTCTAGTGCTCCTACTTCTCCCAAATTGCAGTGGCTTATTTTCTACTGTCCCCTAATTTCAACTTCACTCTTTGGCTTTTCAAATCTGACTCCATTGTATGTCTCCAATTGTCTTTCAGAATCATTTTTCCTATGTGGGGGCCCTCTGCTAAAGTCAAGACACTTGGCCTGGATGTAGTCCTGTCTATAGGCCCTCACTTGTGAATTATGAGTCACAGTGACCTTTTGTCAGAAGTGTTCCTTTCTCACCACCCAAGACTCAGTTCTTACTGCACCTAATAACATACATCTTAGCCCTTAAGTATTCTCTATTTCACAGGTTACAATATATACTCTTAGAAGCAAGAATAAAGGTTTTATCTTCTTTACAACACAGAGAGCTATTTATTAAATAAATAGCTCCTGATTCATCTTGAAATTCAAAGTAGTGTGGCAATAACTACATGACCCATACCAATGTATGTATCCTAGTTGTAGCATTATCCTAAATGGAAAAGAAGTCAAAAGTAAATGTCCAATATCACAGGAATGCTTAAATTACAGCTCACAGAATATTTTGCAACTATTAAAATATATGAGAAAACGTAACAGGAAAATAAAATAAAGAACCACCAAAAATTCCATGTGCTCCATGTTTATGAAATGTCTGTAGGTAGAAAAAGACAAGAAGGAAATAGCAACAAAGATGACACAAATATGTGAATGACAAGCTCACTATGTGCCAGTCAATGACATACAAATAGGTAAAACTGTGGCTTACAACTCAGCATTCTTACCAATGATCTTAAAATGTCAATAAACACACAGCCTTTGATACCAGGTAGGAATCGTTTTTTTGGTTTTTTGTTTTCTAATGCAAATTCTCAGATTCTAACTCCAGACCTAAAGAATCAAAAACTGGAAATGTGGCTTAGGACTGTGTGTTCATCAAGCCTCCAGGTAATTTTGACCTATGCTAAAGTTTGAGAACCTCTTCCTTACAGGAAAGCAACCTGGAATGTTGTGTTTTATTCCCTAATACATTTCAACAAGGCTTTCATTTGCCTTTCATTTTTGATAAGCTGTAGTCACAGATGTGTTTTTTAACATACCCATTTTAAATGAACACAATATACCTAATATACAAACAGAATGGAATGTGAGAAAGGCCAAGATAGTTTGGATAAGGTAAGATTCTCTTAATTCACTTAAAAATTTATCACCACAAAAGTGCTCTAGAAAGGGGTTTAGTATGAGCAAATGAAGTTCAAACATTCCATGTCAATAGTAAGTTGCTAATGCTTGGTTAGTTAATGAACTTAAATTCAGAAAAAAAAATTTTTTTTTTTACTTCTTTTTAAAACAGCCTGGAAGAGTTGTGACTCTTGTTGAAGATCCTGGGGTATGATATAAGTATTCTTTTTTGTATAGTCTTTAATCATGTAACATGTTGAGATGTTTCTAATAATAATCAGTGAAATTTTATTAACAGTCATTACAGATAATTTGCACTACACTATGTCTAGAATTACTGTGTATCTGTTGAATTTCTTTTCATCTGTTAGGAAAAGTTTGAATGCAGGATGCAAGGTTAGACAACAATTTTTTCTTTTCTTAGTAAGTTTGACTTAGTAATGTTGACTGAAAATTTTTTAGTCCCGCTGACATTAATAGGGCCAACTCTCAAACAGCCAGACTACCACCATCAATCAAATGGGAACCCTTGAAACTCTCCTCACATTTGCTAGGAGTCTAATATTTTTGGCAAAAGTCCCAATCAGGAGTTATCACTTCATTTGTCACCTAATTTTATCAATGCACAGCAAGTTTTTAAACAGGTTTGGAGCACTAAAAAATTTCTATTTACCTCATAGTCTAGTTTCTTAACTACTTTTTTTTTTTTAGAATCACTTCATCGAGGTATAGATTCAAAATCTTGTATTGTCAAGTTAAAGATTTGGGAAGGGACTTTAATATGTAAAAGTGAAGCAACTAGCAACAGATGAATGGTGAAATTATAAATGCTTTCATAATTACATTAGGAAAAGCATATATTAAAATGTATTCAAACTGATAACTAACTCCTAATTAAAGCTAATCAACAGCACTTTGTTTCTATAGAACATTAATTCATCCAGGAAGATCTTAGCAACCTAAAGTTTAATAGCAAAAGTTAATAAATTAAGGGCTGTCAAGAAACTATAAAACTTGATTATATGAGATATTAATACTAAAAAAAATCTTCACAGCTAAAGTATACTGTTGTTACTGATACTTTGTGGGGGTTTTTTTGACAAAAGTGGCTGCCATACCATACACTGGGGTGGAGTAATTTACAAAGGATATCTGAAAGTTTAGGCCATGAAGAAAATGAACAAATAAATGAAACAGCTATGGCCTTAAATAGCTGATTATTACAAAGGTTTTAAAAAACAAAAACCTTTCTGCAAAAAACGGAACATCTAATATGTAAGAAGGTAAATGATGGCTCAGATCTAGCTGAAGGGATTTGGGGTGGCAAAGCCCTTCCAGCTAACACCCCAACATTTACCTGCAGACAGCACCTGAGGTAGGCTCCAGGGTGGCTATAACACTCCATGAAGCAGTTTGGAAACAACTGTCCTGTACCGTCAGTGAAATGTTTATGGATTTAAAGCTCCAGAATTATATTTTTAGAAATCAAATAAAAACCTGATTTTTTTCATTATAGCCCCGTCAGTTCAAAGACAGTATTTTAAAATTTTAAACAAAGATAACCTGGTATTCAAGAAAATTATTCAGACTGAGGAATTTAAAATGCTGATTTTCTTTATTGTTTAATATTTGCCTCTTAAGTGCACTTGAAGTGAAGCAAAACTTCATTGATTTCTAAGAATATATAAGATATCTAAGAAAATTCTTAGATTACAACATATCTTCACCTGTTCTAGCCTTGTAAATATTAAAAAATACATTCTTTTCATTTTCCTACAGGGTTGTGTATGGGGTGTTGCTTACAGACTGCCAGTAGGAAAGGAAGAAGAAGTTAAAGAATACCTTGACTTCAGAGAGAAAGGAGGTTACAGGACCACGGCTGTCATTTTTTATCCAAAAGATCCCACAACAGAACCATTCAGTGTGTTGCTGTATATTGGAACATGTGATAATCCTAACTATCTTGGTCCTGCTCCTCTGGAAGACATTGCTGAACAAATTTTTAATGCAGCAGGTCCAAGTGGAAGAAATACAGAGTACCTCTTTGAACTTGCAAATTCTATTAGGAATGTTGTGCCAGAAGATGCAGATGAGCATCTTTTCTCTTTGGAAAAGTTAGTAAAGGAACGTTTAGAACAAAAACAGAACCTCAATAGCTTGTAAAGACCTAATCATTGACTTTTCTGAACAAGCAGAGCTTTTACTCTTCAGAGAATAGCTTCATAGTACAATGGCAATATGATTTGGAAACATGTTCCAAATCATTTATTTTTTTTGTGGTTCCAAATCACTTATTTATTTTTAATGTGGTAGTCAAGACAGCAAAATTTATAGTTTAATTGCAGGTGTCCTGAAACATGTACATATATTCAAAATATTGGGATATAGTTAAAGAAAAAATTAAATTTTAATAATGTAATGATTTCCTAACTATGTGATATTGAACACTTGCTCATGAGAAGTGAGTTCTTTAGAAAAATACAATGAAGGACTCAGTTCAGAGCTTGCTTTTATCAGAGTAAAAATAATTCTGTTGTTTCATATCACAATACTATTTTGAAGTTTTAGAAAATTAAACCAAAAGCCCACTACATATAATGAAGTTATACTTTGAATATATTTCTATACAGTAATTCTGTAACCATGGTTTAAAATGTACAAGCTTAAAATAATGTATAATTAGAAATATACAGTAATATAGATAAGTTTTCAGCCTTGCTTGTTAATTTTTTTGTTCAGGTATTAATGAGATCCTTTCCAATTTATGCCAAAAAAATTGGCATTTTGAATATAAAAGTTTCCTTGCAATCATAATGTTTTTGCTACATGGAAAAAACTCATTCAGCTAAAATAGCATAAATTACATTTTACAAAGCACATCCTCTAACAATGCAGTCTGTCATTCACTTAATATCATACTGAAATTTATTTTAAAGGATAGGCTTTCTGATACTACAAATTAACAGAAACATACATAAATGTGTGTGTATACATGTATATAAAAAATGAAAGTTCTGTGTTTGCAATGGCTTTTAGAATATTTTTTCAAAATAAGATTACCTGATCATTTGGTACAGTTTTTTTTTCCTTCTTATGTCTTCTCACCTAAACAAAAGTATTCACTGAATAGTGTTAAAAGATTCTGCTCAAGTAGGAAACATACATGTAACATTACTAACTCATGTAGAATTAGGCTTGATTCAAACTAATCATTATTTCTGATTATAAGTGATTTCTTCTCAACAGGATGTATAATCTTTCTAAAATCTTTCAGCATGAAAAGAATTTCAGGATCACACTAAGTCTCACATGGAACTTAACAGAAACTCCTCAAACCCAGGAATGACTAATAATTGACACAGGGGTTTTTCGCACAAAATAAAGCTGTCCTGCATAGTAGGGACAATAATCCTTTTCATGTTTTTCTATTTACTACACCTTCCTTGGTAATTTACTCCAGTATATAACTATTTTAAACATTTTCCAGGATTTTCAATGTTAGTTTTCCAAAAGGCATTTCTCTTGTCCTGTATACAGAAAAAGTAGTAACATTTCATTAACAAATACCTCATAAGGATGTGCTAAGCACTTTACATAGGGAAGCATTTTAATGGATGACTCTTCTGAGCTTGTTCCCACAATAACTTGCAAGTAGCATGTAAAACTCGTAAGTAGGAGAAATCCAGGTCTCTGTTTCTACAATATATTTATATTTTGAACTTAACTATCTTTACTATCCTGCATCTTTTTTCAGGAGGCAAACAAGATTAATATTTTGTATAACGAAATGGTTATGTAACTTGTTATATAAAGTTAACTTTGAGAGATGTACTTAGATTCCACAAACATAATGAGCCTATTCAAAACTCACATTATAGCTCAGAATCATTAGGTGAATTCAAATAAGTCATTTTAATAAACCTAGGTCCAAAGGAGTATGTGACTTCCCAACATGATTCTTCTACCCTTTAATACATAATTACATTATAATATCAATTGCAAGGGATTATTTTGTTATTCCCATTTATATGTCTTCAGATTTTCAGTTACAAGTTAAACAGGAAAATATATGCATATACATGTGGTATACATTTCATATCACTAAAACCAAAAGAGCCGAACATTTCATTGTATTTACTTTTTTTTTCATTTTGGTATCATTGATACACACATGAGCAACATTGTGGTTACTAGACTCCCCCCATTATCAAGTCCCCACCACATACCCCATTACAATCACTGTCCATCAGCATTGTAAGATGCTATAGAATCACTACTTGTCTTCTCTGTGCTATACTGCCTTCCCCATGCCCCCACCCCCGCTACATTATGTGTGCTAATTGTAACGCCCCTTTTTCCCCTTATCCCTCCCTTCCCACCCATCCTCCCCAATCCCTTTCCCTTCGTAACCGTTAGTCCATTCTTGGGTTCTGTGAGTGTGCTGCTGTTTTGTTCCTTCAGTTTTTGCTTTGTTCTTATATTCCACAGATGAGTGAAATCATTTGATACTTGTCTTTCTCTGCCTGGCCTATTTTCATTATATTTACATTTATACCTTATCCAATACACAAAGTCGACTGCTAGGCTTCAATTACCATCTTTATATTCAGAGAACTTAAAATCTCTAACCTACTTTCTCAAATTCTTTGTAGCTCTATAAGTTTTATATGTAAGGGATGTCCAACTGAGATACACAAACACCAGAAACTTAGTATACTAAAACAATTCCATCTCCTTTCCCAACATTTTGTCCCATATTACTTCCTTGCACATGATACACATTAAATGTTGAACAATGGTTTATAACAAACAGGTTTAAGAAACTAATCCATTTAAAAGCTATGGAGAAAATATTTTTACAATATATACAAAATATAGTGGGCCTTGTTTATATAAATTTTAGCCTTTATTTTATTACTAAAAACTCTATAACATTTATTAGTAATAAGTCAAACCAAAGTTAGCAGGGAAGCCCTGAAGCCTGTGATACGGCTTAACAGTTTACATGATAATATCTATCACTCAAGTGTGAGCAAGAAGATTCTCAGCTAAAATAACCTTATAAAATAGTAAAAGCCAGTTTCTTACACCTTATCTTCAATCTCTTTTCTTCTTTCCAGTACATTCTCTACTCTGCACTCAGAATTCTTTGTAAAATACAGATCTGGTGAATAATCAAAAATGCCTTCCACAAAATACAAAATAAAGTTCAAATTCTTTAATTTTGTATTCAACTACTTACAATCTGGTGTCCGCATATTTATCACATTTCACTTTCCACTAATGCACCCCCACCCCCACCCAATGCTCCAGCCACACCTTCTTACTCATCCATTAAGACCCAGGAAAAATGAAGGACTAATGATATGCACCAAGACTACAAAAAAGATCGGTCCCAGCTATTAAGAACCACATTTGGTGAAGAGAACCACAAGAAAGCAAATCAGTGTAATTTAGCAAAAGGCTGTGACAAATATAAGCAGAATACAGAGAGGCAAATTATTCAAACTATTAAGAAATATAGAGAGCTTCATTAAAAAAAAAATGCTCATGGATCAAATAATAATAACATTTACATAGCACTTACCATATATGCCAAAATCTAAGCCAACTACTTTACAAATATTAAACCCAATTTTCTTAAGATGAT